TTTGTATTGTTGACTACGATAACGGTTTGCTTATATATATATATACTCCGGTACTCGTTCCACGTGAGTAAATTTCTGCATTGTACTATACCTGCATTACAAACTGTGTATACGATACACATATATTTCGTACACGCAAGTCAGCCACTCGGCGTATGTGAGGGTCGCTAAGCGGGTCTTTGGCTAATTAAAAGGCGCTCGCAACAAATAGATATAAAATTCATACGCAGGATGGTTCCTATTAACTCAAGTATACCTACAACATATATAGAGTTGGTTGGAAGAAGTATATGAAACGCGAATTAATTAAGTGCAATAATTAATGAAAATTTCACGTATATTTCCTCAATAATAAAAGTGAAGTTTACGCGGTCGAAGTATATCTGACGAAGAAGAAGGGTAGTGTGCCTTGAATTTTTTTATTTTCCTATACCTTCCGCGAGTGCGAGAGAGACACGCTTATTGGCGTTAACGTGCGTAAGAGAGAGACATACGTGATCGTCGTAAAAATCCAACAAACACTGCTCATCTTTCTCAAAACGAAATAGCCCACCAACTACAGGTTACTTGACTCAGGTCCAAACGGCAAGTGGCCTTCGCCATCTTTCAAAAGCTTTTCTTCATCCCCTAAACCGCCGACCCTTAATTCCCATACCTTTCCGGAGTTTAGGGATTCGTACCCATGTTTACGAATGGCTACGCTCGATTCCACGACTATCCTCTATTCTATATAAGACAAGCCACTTGACTACTATTCTCTCTACTATCGCAAGGGGCACATGCTAATACTCCTCTCTTCGGGGAGTGGGCTAGTGGTAAGTACCCACACACTCGGGCGAAGATGTTGAATGCTCTGGATATAGCGAAGGAGGCTGCTCAACCTGGAAGTTGAGGCTTGGGGCAACGAATTTATGCAAACATTCAAGGAGTCCCTCGTGCAACATGTGTACCACGTACTCTGTGTGGTGCTCTGATATATAGATAGACAAATAGATACATAGACGTAGAACTAGCGGCACACAGCTGACAGAAGGGGTTTCCAAATTAAACAAGAGCCACCCCTAATTTACGCAACGTGTAGTATGTTTCCACGCTGACGGCGAAGTCCGTCATTTAGCCAAGGAAAACGCTTACCAAGTTTCGCTGAAACTCTTGGAAATTCCTAATTGACAAACAAGCTTTGTCGGGGATTTCCAAATCGATGGACCACCCTTTGTATACCTAGGGAGTTTGTTTTCCACTTTAGTCGCTAGTGGAAAAGACGTCAAATAATAACAATTATACAGCAAATTATTACTCGACGATGCCAATATCGATGTAAAAAAAAAAATTGGGACGTCTAAAAAAATTTATGCTATTAAACTTTTCGCAAGGGAATTAAAAACCATTATGTGATGTCACGCGTTTGCGATGTTAGGGGTTGAAGAACTACTAGAAATCGCGTGCAGACATTTTTAATTAGTCGGTGGAATTGCTAATAGCTTTACTATGCCTATGGCACTGATTTACCTTTATACAGATTCTAGGTATCTTACGATTCTTTTTATATTCGGTAGAGACACCCGTTAGATCTGACCGATGCATTATAATACGAACCGTTATACGATGACGCGTCGGGCATTGTCCTGTCTTTATTAGGAAGGCGATAACGTGCTCTTGCCATTTAGCACAATTTAACCAGTGGCAGTCGATGCACTTTGCTTCTGAACTCGAAACACGTAGTTTATATATATATATATATATATAGTCTTTTTTATAAAAAAAAAACACATCGGCTTGCCGTTGTGAGTGCCACACGTCCTCATAAATACCATTTGACAAGTTTATACATATACTATAGCTATATATATGTTTACAGATATATCATTGAAGACTCATCGACGATGCAAACCAACAATATTGAATGAGATTTTCCACCTTCTCATACTCATCCTAAACCTCATCCTCCAGAATCTCCATTCTGGTTCTCCACATACATTCAGTCTCGACTACTTCTCTATATTAGAAAATTTCTCCTCTCTCTCTCTCTCTCTTGACTGAATTGCCAGCCTGTTGCTGAAAGCCTGTTGCCGAAAATCTATGCAAGAGCATAAACTGTACCTATCCTATACGCAGAGAAGGTAAGCCACATGCGCAATTACGTACAATACGTCCCTTGAAAACATGATCGTTGGGTTATAGTAATAGGGGTGGTCCCATAAAACATCCCTTAAAGGTCTGAAAGACGTAAAAGGTGGGAGTTTAGTGCGTGACGGGACGTTGGGCTAATCGATGTTCGTGCAACGAGGGTAGGAGATAAAATTAAGTAAATAGAGAATAAAGGGGGTGGTCGAGAGACAGAGCTACGATTAATTTACCCTCGTTGGATAACGAAAGTAAAGAAAAAAAAAAAAAAAACAAATACGTAATAAAAATTATACCAGTCTCAATTCCATATCATGGTAACCGTGATACGTGTATAGGGTAAGTTTTATGGTTTTTCACATGAAGGGTGGAAAACGGGCGAGCGCTAATGGTATTAATTATACAGTTAATTATCATTCCCACGTCAGTGCCCTAGGAGTAGATATCATTTTACAGGGGTTCCCTTTCAGCATCAATCTAAATGTGTCAACGCCCCAGTGGTAGATTCGATCCTCCACTCGCGATATCGTGTATACTTTAAACTCTATGGCTGACAGACTCGACAACTCTTTAGTATATATATAAAGCGAATACTCATTTACGCATTATATCGTAATAGCCTGGTACACACGATGCTTCGATTAATGCGAGAGAAAGATTATTTATAGTGATTCCACGATCTATTCATACAGATAATACATCTGACCGTTCTGTCGATTCGCATTGACACGGCCATTATCGGATATGAGGTACGTCAAACTCGAGCGGATTTACAATTAACGTTTATCAATCCAGAAGCCCGGCACCGGCCTCCATTTAATTCGCGGATGTCCTTCGTTACGGATGACAGAAATTCTCCAGAACTTCCACGGTGGGCTACGGTAATTCTAAATGAATATTCATAAGAGACGAGGACGACATTTCTGTCACACTTAAGGCTCATTCACATTGCTGATATTACGTCACGGAGTATATATAAACAAGTATAGAAGAGCGTTACTGAAGATATATATATACATGCATGTATACGGGGTGGTCTATCGGTCATGGGTAAAACTGAAATTGAGAATAAGACCCTGAACAAGTATCGAATGAATCACGTACGTTGACCTACCATGCGAATATTAATGGCTCTATTAATAAAGCCGTTTTATGGCCCCTAACTATATATACGGCTGTTTATATATAGCACACATGTATAAAATGTAGCTTTATTTTACCGGGACCCCTCTGCCTTAAGGTCATAGCCAGAAATACTTGTGAACGATACTCGGATAATTTAAGACCAAATTATTACCTGCGAAATAGACGACTCGAGCTGATCTAACGATTTGACTCTCTGATTCAATGAACGTAGAAATTAAACGTGTTCTTTAATAATTTTTACTTTAGCTTATAAATTGAGACGGAGACACTCGCTGGTTCCCTTTGAAAAAGTTCCTGGCTTTTGAATAAAGGATGACGAGGGAGAGGTAAGGGGGGGGGGGG